GAAACTTGGACTAGCCTGGCTGAAGCTCTGCTGTTCTGTTTTTGGGTGGCAAACTTGTTGACCTCTCCTTGCAGCTGGGTGGAAGTGAAGGCTCAGGGCATCCAGGTTGAAGGATGGTGTCTGTAGCCCTCAATGCACTTTAACTACTAACGTACAGAAATGAGTATTTTTCACCATAGGATATTGTATCTATTGTTGCGTAGCTGTTCTAATCTGCTTTCAGAGGACCTTTCTTCAGTTCTGCAATCTCATACCATCGTAAATCCAACACTGTGATCTTGCCATTGAAAACGAACTTGATAACCAGACAGCAAAGGAAAAGCTGAGTCTTGGGGCAATATCTTTCTCTGGCATATCTTTGACTACATAGTTCCTGAAGTCAGTGACACTTCCCGTTTAATGTAAATACCACTAGCTATCCAAGATTGAAGTAGTATTTCCTCCTTGTGTATTCGGTGTCTTGGAAGTAAATACATAAAAGATACAGAAGAAAGGCATAAGGCATATGGCACATGCTCATCCATGGATGAATGCCATGGAGTCCTGTTCTTAAAATGGGAAGCTATTACGTGTGACTGTAAAATGTGGTCAGATGAGCTGGATAATACAAATCTGTTGCTCTGAAACCTAGGACTCGTGCCAGATGACTTTGCATTTTCACTTCTGCTTGTTGGTTCAAGGCTTTAAATTTTAATGATTCAGAACAATTTGCTAGTTATCTAAGCCTGCTGTTAACAAATAGAACAAGCGTATCTTTCATTTTTAAAAAAGCCAGAATCCGAGAAGGATGGAGTCGTGCATCAAGTGCTATGGAAGGGCTGAGAAATACAGGCTTTTGTTTCCAAACAAAAAGAGCTGGACTAATGGTCACGCTGCTGCTCTGGTTCTGACACCATTCAGAAAAGAGCTGCATCGTGTTTTCTCATGCTGCCATAAGCCATGGCTTTGGGAGTGATGAGAGCTGGCAATGGGAAGCCCAGTAAACACGTAGCAAATGTGCCTTTGCCCCAGTGGTGCGATGCTTCTAGGTGAAGAGGCAGTGGTGAAGGAGTCGGGGAGCAGAGGAGGTACAAGGGAAGGTGGCAGAGGCTGGTCTTCGTAAGCCAACAGTCTGTAGTGAGACAGGGGAGATGGGTGGGATTGGAGGAGGTCTGGAGCAGAGCAACAGGGATGATACCAATGTGCTGCACAAGTGCAGAATGTGCCCACAGAGTCTTTTTCTGGGCATAAAGGAAGAGATGGGGACCGGGACAACAGAGGTTTTGGGTTCTGTCTTCTGTGTCTCAACTGTGTTGCCTCTTGCCACATGTCTTGTAGGCCTCAGGGTAAAGAGATCTCAAAGATTACTCAGAAACTGCCAGTGACATTTCCAGTTTTGAGGGTCAGAAAGGAAATTTGTAAATCCTCTGATGCCTGTAAAGTTTCAAATGACTGAGTAGTAAAGCCAAGTGGTATAAACCAATGTAGGAAGCTTGGGCCGCTCATTACTAAATGAGAAGTTTCTTTGTTGATTCTTTCCCCGCCTGGCACCAGTGGAAGGGTGCTCAGAGGTGTATGACACAGAAGGAAGTGAAGTCAAACAGGCTTTGCAGCATCTTATGCAAGCTGGCATTTGTTAAGACCTAGGGAAAAGGTGTTGCAGCAGCTTAGAGGAGCTTAGGTAGGTTTAAGATATGTTCATAGATAGATCATTTCTTCTTCTATTTCTAGATAATGGAGAATTCAGAGGACTGGAAGAGCCTGGCCATGAAACCATAAAGCTCTGGGCAGGCCAAAGCATCCAGAACTTTTGACATGTGAGACCTGGTGGTGTTGTGCACCGTGATAAATATGAAGGGCAGATTCTTGACTTGTTGGGTTTGAGTTGATGAGATGTCTACAAAAGCACATTGGACACGCCAGAGCTTTACATCTCAATTGGAAAGCAAAGCACAGACCTGGAGAAGAGCAGATGTCTGAGGTTATCTGCTGTGCACAAAGAGGGAAGAGAGGAGATAGTGAGGGCAGAGCTCCACACAGTTTCTACAGGCTGCTGGGGTTAGAGGAAGGATCATGTCAAGGGTGCAGCAAGTAGAGCTGAGAGGCGACAGTCAGTAAGGACATGATTTTGAGAGAATGAGCTTGCTCAGTTTGGTTGAAAGCAGTTAGCAGTCCAAAAATAAGAGCAGCACCCACCTCCAAGGGCTGACTTGGCTGCTTGGAGTTCTGGAGGGAGGAAACTCCTGATGGTGACTATAGACAATCAGTTTGGGGAGCATGGTTTAGTGGTGCAGAAGATAGTATGGATTCAGTGGGAGTACTCAGCAGATTAACAGTCCCTGGCAATTCCAGGAGATCAGAAGGGATCTCATGGATCCCTCTGGCCTGTGAGGTCCGTTCCCTGCAGTAGACAGAGGACAGGACACAGCCATGATACAGCAGTACAGGGTTGATGCTTGTTCCTTGCTGGTGAGGGTGAGCTCCTCTAGTGGGACGTACGGTATAATTACAGTTAACGCTGCTTTGTTAACTAGGTTTCTGAAACTTGTTACTGGATTAGCTCATCCCTGCAGGATTTCTGTTTTGGTTTTAAAGGTGAATATTTCTTGAAGTTTTTTATTTCTCGAGGGCTTACCTACAGACTCAAGAGCAATTTTGGCAACGTTGCTACTGAGCAGAAACAGTTAAAGTATGAATTTATAAGAAGGGCTGCAAGAGAAGGCTGACCTTTAAAATACAGCATTGTCAGTTTCCTGTGGCTATTTAGTTCTTTTTGTGGCTTTGTCTTACTGGTGGACAGCAGGATGACCATTAGCCAGCACTGTGCCCTCATGGCCAAGAAGGCCAATGGCATCCTGGGGTGTATCAGAAGCGGGGTGGTCAGTAGGTCGAGAGAGGTTCTCCTCCCCCTCTACTCTGCCCTGGTGAGACCGCATCTGGAATATTGTGTCCAGTTCTGGGCCCCTCAGTTCAAGAGGGACAGGGAACTGCTGGAGAGAGTCCAGCGCAGAGCCACAAAGATGATGAAGGGAATGGAGCATCTCCCTTATGAGGAAAGGCTGAGGGAGCTGGGTCTCTTTAGTCTGGAAAAGAGGAGACTGAGGGGTGACCTAATCAGTGTTTATAAATATGTAAAGGGTGAGTGTCAGGAGGATGGAGCCAGGCTCTTCTCTGTGACATCCAGTGATAGGACAAGGGGCAATGGGTTCAAGCTGGAACATAGGAGGTTCCACTTGAATATGAGAAAAAAACTTCTTCACAGTGAGGGTGACAGAGCACTGGAACAGGCTGCCCAGAGAGGTTGTGGAGTCTCCTTCTCTGGAGACATTCAAAGCCCGCCTGGATGCATTCCTGTGTGATCTGATCTAGGTGTCCTGCTCCGGCAGGGGGATTGGACTAGATGATCTTTCGAGGTCCCTTCCAATCTCTAACATTCTGTGATTCTGTGGGTCACAAATTTCTGATGTGACTGCTAACTAGAGAATGTGCACATCCGCAATGGTGGTTCCTATTGTGGTCTCCAGTTGCTGGTGAAGTTCCTTTAAGAAGTCAGTTTTTATTTGTGTGCATATACATTTCTAGTATTAATAATAACCTAGGATTTTGCTTTAGTGGTAGGTGATCTTAGAAGCAGCTTTCCTGGTTAAAATGTTCAAGACCATCAAATTATTTATTTTGTGCATGCAAAACCTTAATATCTCTTGATTAATGAAAACACAAGTTAACATGTTAATACGAGGTCCAGATTCTCATCTTATTAAATACCTGCAGATCCACTGATGCAGGTAGAGCTGTTCCACTTGCACTGGCTAGTGATTTCAGCCCACGTTTCCTCTAAAATTCTACATTGGCTTTTTCAATTAATGTGCAGGTGTGCGTGGCTGTAACATTTAAGATGCCTTAAATCTTTTCAAATTCGTTTGCCACAACTAATTTAAAATTCCTTAAGAACTGATGCTGAGTTAAGTGTGCTTACTGTCAAAAATTGTGTGTAATGAAATAGAGGTTAGCCAAATTATGCAGTACATTTTGTTAACTAACTGCGTGTCTAATGAGATCTTACCTCACATCTCTGTAGATGTAAAGTTATGTGTGAATATACACCTTGAATATAATTTCACAGTAGATAGAAAATACCTGCTTTCCGGCAGCTGGAAGGAATTAGAGATTAGGTCTTGTGGTGAAAAAGTCCTGCTTGTTGATGACCAGAAGACGGAAAGACTTCAACCTCTTGTATTTTATACCTGCTTCAGCCCTTTCCGTAAGCAGTGGGGACCATGTAAGGGCTGACTTCTCAGCACTGCATTAACACCAGACCATTCTGATGTTGTGTGTTGGTTTCTATTTAGGAGTTACATAAAAATATTTAAATACCCTTAAATATTACAGCCACTCTTACATCCTTTACAGACTCTGTATGTCATGCACTCTGGGCAGACGTGTGTGTCTGAAGGCAGATGCAGCACTAGAAATGGTCTGTTCATGAACATCCTGGCAGCTAATGGAGAGCAGGAGAGATTTTGCCGGTGTTGCCAGTGTTTGGAGCATTTTAGGTGCTATGAGCAGTGGTGACACATTTGGGAAGGAGAGTTATGTGACATTATCCTCTTCTTCCAGTCAGCCCCTCTGATAGCTGCTGCGGTTGCCTTTGCTGTTGCTTGTTCCCCAGGTTAATGTTGCCTCTCTCAATTTCAACTCCAGCAGTGCAGTTCTGAATGCACACTGTAAATGTTATCAGGATTGTGGTAACTTTATCCTGCTTTTTTTTCTTTTTTTTTTTTTTTTTTTTTGGCAAAGCTTTAAGCAGTACCAAGGTTACTGGAGCTGTCTGAAAAGAGATTTTCCTTCCCTGCATGTCTCTGATAACCACAGAAGTGGGGTTTTGTAAAAGCATTTAAGTAAAATTATAGGGAATGTAATAGGCTTATGTGGAATTTAATAGACTTAAAAGGAATGATGGTGACTGACTGGCTTGTTTTATATACAGGTGGAGCCTAATCTGATTTTTTTCCTCCCTTCAGTTTTTCCCCTACATCCTGCTGCTCGTCGCCATCCTGCTGTACCTACCATGTTTGTTCTGGCGCTTCACTGCAGCACCTCACCTTTCTTCCGACCTGAAGTTTATTATGGAAGAACTTGACAAAGCCTATAACAGGGCAATCAAAGCTGCTAATAGCATCCGCGGAGGAGACCCCAGGGACCCTACTGACTTGGTTCCAGCTGTTAATGAAAACTTGACACAGAGGTAAGATGCTGGGGCTTGCCTTTCTTTGCTCTTTTCCTTAAGCTCTTAACAGATGTAACACCTTCACTCTTCTTAGAAATGTTTTGGAAAGGTTTGCGTGGTGACCTCACACGTTTTTAAGTTTGGTTAAAAAAATGAAGACATCTGAAATCATTCCTGTGAGCACTTGGAGCTGGAACTTGAAATTTTATTTTTTCGAATAAAACATTTGATGTGCTCTTATTGCCTGAGATGTCCTGATTTCTTTAGTTGTAGTAGGTGTTAATTAGTTTTACCCACCACAGCACAAGAAAACAGGGATGGCTGCAGTCTTCAATTCTCAATGTTCTTGACAGTCGCTTGCATGCTGTGAGCAAAGTTTGTTACTTGTCATTCCTGTCCTTTCAGATCTAGAACTGCAAAGCGTCTGTTTAGAGAAAAAAAAAAAAATCCCAAACCCCCCAAACACCAAAACCAACAAAAGCACAAAACCTGTCTCTGATCAGATTAGTGCACTGTTCTAACCTGGTCCAGTTTCTGCTTCATCCTAGCTCAGGGTACCTGTTTCTCTGTGTTTGTGGGGCTACAAGCAATGCAATGGGGACTTAAGTCTGTTCTTTAAAATGTGGAGTTAGGTCTTGACAAGTAAAAAGCCTTCCAGTGTGCTATTACCAAACAAGTGCTTGGGAAGTCTGCTTTTTTCGTCGTGGATTTGCTCACTATACCTGTTTTGTATTGTAATAGAACAAAAAAAACTTTTTTTGCTGCAAGGGTAATACTTTTTTTTTCCAGTTTTTCCAATGCTTGAGCTCTTTTGTCTCTTAGGTGGCTTTTCTGTATTAGAGTGTCAATATTCTTCATTTATCTGCTATTCTGTGATTTTTTTTTTTTTTACTGACTTCAGTAAAACTACCCTTGCTTTACCCCAATAAGAGAGAATCCAATGTTGTGTTTTTTTAGAGTACTAGGTTTCTTTGAAATCTTAGGTAGGTGAATGCTCCAGCATCTGATCTATGTAATTTGGTTTTTTTCCTCTCTCTTTCAGTTTGTGGGAAATATCTGAAAGCCACTTTAAATACCCCATTGTGGAGCAGTACCTGAAGACAAAGAAGAATTCCAAATGCTTAATAATTAAATACATTATCTGCCGTTTACTCACTCTAGTAATTATTTTAATTGCCTGCCTCTACCTGGGCTACTACATTAGCCTCTCCTCTTTGAGTGATGAGTTTCTTTGCACTATCAAAACTGGGATCTTAAAGAATGACACAACTGTTCCAGAAGTGGTTCAGTGCAAGCTTATTGCTGTTGGTGTCTTCAAGGTACTCAGCTATATTAACCTGATAGTCTACCTTCTAGTGATGCCGCTGGTGGTGTATGCAATGTTTGTTCCGTGGAGGTGGAATTCGGGTATTCTCAAAGTGTATGAAATCCTGCCAACTTTTGACGTTCTGAAACTCAAGTCAAAGAGTTTTGATGACTTAAGCCTTTACCTCCTCTTTCTTGAGGAAAATGTGAGTGAACTTAAATCATTTAAATGCCTCAAAGTGCTGGAGAACATTGCAGTTTCTGAGAAGTTTGATGTCATGCAACTTTTGGTGAACCTCGGTACTATTAAGACAGATACCGTAGATGGGAAGCCAGGGACAGCTATGTTGGAGAAGCCTGAAGGCACAGCTACAGAAGAGCTGGAAAAAAATGCAACAGAGCTACAAGGTAAGGTGACTTTCTCTTTCTTTAAAAAGAAAAGAAAAAAAAAAACAACAAAGAAAGAAACACCACAAAAACACCACATCCAAACCTGCTGGTATAGAGAGATAAGGAACCCATTAAGCCAAAAATTCATTAATGCAAAAGAAAGCAGGTTTCACCTAGATGTGTATTCCTACCAAAAATATTTTAATATATTCTACAAGAAAACGGACCTGCTTAGACCTTGCTGTGTTGTCTGCAGGATTACTGCTGTAACTTCATGTATGTGCCAGAAGATTGTAGTGTTGCAAGTCAGTGGCATAGGGTGAACACTGAGGTCTGAAGCTGAACTCCTTAAGACCTCCTGCACAGTAAAGGAACAATAGATTGGCCTGCAGTAGGTTGGGCTGGAAGGAGCTCCAGCGAGAAAGCTGGCAGTTTGAGGACATTTGTTTTTCAGCGATTAGCTCAAAGAGTAGTAACTGCTGCTTCTGCTTTTTCATTCAGGCTTTGGCAGAAGTCTTAGATGAATGCAAAAATAAGTCTGATGCTCAGAAATGCCACTGGTAGAGGAACAGAAAATGACAAAGGAAGGGAAGTGGGGCTGGGGCCAGTGAGCATGTTCCTGTTCCTTCTTACACAGAGAGAAAGGAATATTGTCTGTAAAGTGATTTTTGCCAAAATGGCCTAAGTCAATCTGGCTTGGTGCAGCTGTTCTCTGAATATTCCCACCAGTTCCCAGATGTGCTCAGCTCTGAGCAATTGCTCTTATATGAGATGCAGTCGTAGATTCTGTGCTAAAAAATGTGACGTATCTGAAATGTGATTCCGATTCCCTCCTCAAGTGCAGAATTAGAGAGAAGAAGCCAGATATCCAGGGAGAGGCAAAAAGGGACAGAAGAGCTTTCTTCCCATTTGATGTGAGTGTGGCTGCTGTCATAGCCATACTCGCAGAAGCAGCAGGACACCAATGCCTACATCCCCTGAATGAGGGAGTTGAGACTCTGTGGGCTGCCTCTTCACAAAGTCCTTCACTCGTGGAAGTGAAGATGCTTTAAAAGGTTTAGCAGCTGACCTGCGTAGTGGAGCACAATGCTGGGGGCAAGTTAAAGAACTGTTTTAAAGGCACAAAAAAATGAAATGTACTTTCTCTTGAGAAAGCTATGCCCTGTGCTTAATAAAAAAGAAGCAGCAGCATCCAGAGGGTAACTGTTCCTCTGTGCTTTGGTCAAGCAGTTCTGGTAGGCTGAGGTCTGGAGGAGAAGTCAAATTAGAGAACAGGGGAATTCAGAATATACAGGCAGAATTGTTTTCAAACTAGAAGAAGCACTTCTGGCAGCCAGCTCTAGTACAGCAGTTTGGATTAATTCTGACAAAACAGTTTTCCTCTTGAATGTGTCCCTTTTTGAAATTACAGGTGGGTTTTGGTAGAAGAATTTAAGAGCCCAAGGTGGAGGTCTCTGCTCAAGGAGCTGCAAAAGCTAATAGAAAATCTGACTCATTTTTATCTGCAGACCTTTTAAGACTGCTTTCATCTCACAAAAACACTTCCAAGACTTGTTTTCCCCCAGAGCAGAACAAACTCATGCTTGAAGCTCTGTTAAAATGCATTGCAAGAACAAGCTGCCATTTCATGACCAGCTCTGCCTGGCGCAGCCCTCTCCTTTTGCCTGTGTGCAGCTGCAGGCTTCACCACCTGTCAGCAAAGCTTCACCTCTGGCTCATCATATTTTCTTCGTCACTAGTGGCATCAGCATGTTTTAATTAATAACCATGTTAAACCAGTGGTAGCTGCTCGCTCCAGACCGTAAGGGCATCTGGCTGCTGGGTGCTGCATCCAGGCTGCACGGGGGCAGCTGGAGGATGCTCGGCATGGCACAGCCAGCCAGCCTGGCAGCACTGTCCTGGTAGCGGTTCCTCTGTAGATGAGAACATGTGGAGTGGTTTCATGGCCCTTTCACTTCTAAAGGCTTTCTTTCTCTTTAGTTTTGACAGACCATGATGCAAGCGGCAGTGTGAGTCCAAGAGAAGATAAAAAACTTCGCCAAAGACTTATCGATTCTTCGTGCTGATGCCTCCCCGCCGCAGCAGGCAGGAGCCTCGTGCTTCAGGACGGCTTGTCCTCTGCCTTTGCTACGCTCAGCACAGGGTGCTACTCTTTGAACGCAACCGTCTCAATGGCCTGACGATTCCTCAGAGGCCAAACTGGTTTACAGACTACTTGTGGCATAATAACCAGCAATCATGTACTTGACAAAGCATGTTGTAGACTTTCATTATTTATTTAAAAAAAAATGAAAACAAACACACAAGGAACAAAAAGAACAAAAGATTTCTATCATGAGTAGCGAGTGGCATGCATTGAATGCAATCAAAGCTGGCAGCAGGAAAGAGCTAGCACTATGCTGTGAGAAACGTAACCCTATAGGTAACAGAGATGGCCACGTCGCATGCTGAGATGTTGATCTGCTGGAAGCAGCCATCTCCGTTCTGGGGCATTTTGGGGGCTCTCTGCCCTGGAAGAGTATTTTTGTTGTTTTTTAATGAGTCTGGTTAATCTGCACCAGGTGGTGGCTGGTCACTGATATTGGCTGTGTCTTCACAGGAAAAATAGAGTTTGCTCTGTTCAGCCTGAGATGTCTTGGTTAGCCATCTCAACAGTGATGTCTGGGGTTGATTTACTTGGCACTGATGGAAGAGAAACTACAAACAGGCTTAGTATAAGGGGGTACTGTAAATGTTAAAGATTTTGAATTTTCTATGTATTAATAAATGAATAATGTCTTAACACCTTTTTTTACAAAATGTAAGCTAAATGTTCATTTAATTTCTATTTCTCGGTTATTTTGGTCTTAGTGGCTAACAAATCCACCTTGGAGTTTGGGCTGAAGATCAGTGAAGTTGGTTCCATTTTTGTAACGGTTTGCAGAAGTTGTTTTGTAATGTTTGCATGTGTGGAATTTGTTTAGTTGTGCTGTCTTCCAAAACCCACTTGAGAAAACCAGTCTTATTTGTATTACTAGCAGCTGAGTGCCTCCGCAGAGCCAGGCACCCACTAGCCAAAGTGAGGTAGATGTAAGTATGATGAAACATTGTTCTCCCCTCACAACCTGTGACTTAATTTTAATTAAAGATAACATACTGAAGTGGGTTGGAATAGACAAAGAAGGGGAAGTGTTTGTAAATTGTAAGACTGTCCTGGTTTGTTATTGTACTGTTCGGGGAAAGTACCGTTCAGCTTTAATATCATCATCCCCCTGCCCAGGACCTCTGCCTTCAGTTAACATTGAAATGACCTGTACCTTGAATTTGAGGTACAAGGTGAGGTGGGCGTGGGTTTAATCACCACAGTGGCAGTGTGTATCTTTCACAAATGTTTTATGCTCACTTGCTTTTCCGTGTTGTCCGTGTAACTGAAATGTTTTGCTTGTCACCTTTTACAAGTTGTCTTTTTAGACAAGGTAGCACCTCTTTTATAGCTAGGTAGGACTTCCATTTTCCGGTTCATCTGTGTCACCCGCTGTTGTGTTCTTGGCTGTTAGCATTCTCCGTACGGCTGAGGATGAGGGGGTAAAAGAAGTAATTGGTGTTACCAGCTTTGCACAGAACTGTGTGTGCTGCAGCTGATCTCGAAGAGATAGCGCATCGACTTGAATTTGGCAGCTGCTGCTAAACAAGTGGATCCCTAAGTGCTGCCACACTCTCCTTTGTGCTACTATTACAAGTACTCTTCAGTTACTACATGGCTTTTAGCTAAGAAAAGCCTAATCTAAAAGAAAGTCTTTAAAGCCATAGTGTTGTGCTACCTCTGCACAGGACAGCAGCACAGCTGCAATTCTAGTGTCTGTTGCATTACCAGCAAGAAACAGGGCTTGTGTTGGATACTGCTGGCCCAAACTGCTCAATTTTACTGCCATACTTCTCCCAGCAAGCCTACAACCCCTCTGACCTTTTCTGAATCGTTTCTGTCTGTCTGTGCTGCTGGGTTGCTGATGGTCCTTTGTGTGGGTACTGCAGATGCACACTGTGCATTGGGTGTTTTGAGCAAGGAGCTATAGTGCAATACTAAGATTTTGTGATGTGGATGTGTTTGAACTGTTTGGTGTAAGTAGAGTTCTCAGTCTTTAAAACTCAAAGCTCCTGAAAACATGTTCACGTTTCATGTTGGATATGAACCTAACTTTTTACTAATTTCCCTTTTGTATTTAAAAATATGACTTGCTGCAGTGAATCTCTTGTTGTCTTCCGAAGTCCTCAATAAAATATGTATCAATTCTTGGTTATTTAAATAAATTTTGCGAACTATAGCAGTGTAGGTGACTGACGGTTCCAGGAACAGTCACATGTCGCCATGTGAAAACCTGTAGTGCAATACATGTGGTCTGATGCTAAACCCTGAGCAGACTTTTTGGGCAGTAGTTATAATTGTATTCTTTTAAGTTTTGTTCTCATAAAATTGTCACATCAACATGAATTGGTTCAAAATATATTTAATCTTCAAAAACTGTTGAGAAAATATCAGCACATGATAAATATCCTATCTATTGTGTAAGTTATCTAAAAATTGGCCACAGTCTCAGCATGTGTGAGCTTTTCAGCTGTATCGTGCTGATTTAAGAGGTGTTGTTGCAACTGCACAACTCAGTTCTACTTGTATTTTAGTGGCACCACGCTTTCTGTATTTTGCCCTTTTCGAAAGATGATCTAACATCCAATTTAGGTCTTAAGGAGGAGAGTCCAACTTCAGCCTCTTCATCACTACAGTCTTTCTAGAAACAGCTACACCCACCTATCTTTTTTTAAAATACCCCAGAAAGTAAAATGGCAGTGTTGAGAGTCAATTTGGTCCATGCCACCCTTTGTCTGACACTTCTCTCTCCATCACTTGGATCTTAATAGTCTTCCAAATGCAGGAGAGTTGCAGCTAGCTCCTAGTGGACACGGGAGGATGCTGAGCTGGATCACCGGTCCCTAACTGCTCTATTGAGCTTTGTGCGTCTGTCCCAAGGAAGTGAATGCGCCATGTTAATACCTGCCCAGAAATGTGGAACTGGCCTTTTTGGGGACTATGTGTCCTGGTTTTGGCTGAGACAGAGTTAATTTTCTTCCTAGTAGCTGGTACAGTGCTGTATTCTGGATTTAGTATGAAACAATGTTGGTAGCACACTGATGTTTCAGTTGTTCCTAAATCAAGGATTTTTCAGTTTCCTGTGCTCTACCAGCGAGGAGGTGCGTGAGAAGCCGGGAGGGAGCTTGGCCAGGACAGCTGATCCAAACTGGCCAAAGGGATATTTCATACCATAAGACATCATGCTCAGTGTATAAACTCAGAGGAGTTGGTGTGGGAGGTGATTGCTGCTTGGGGACGGGCTGGGCATCGGTCAGTGGGTGGTGTGCGATTGCGCTGTGTGTCATTTGTGGGTATCTTGGGGTTTATTTCTCTCTTTTTTGTTATCTTCCTCTTCATTACTATTTTTTAAAATTTCAATTAACTGTTCTCACCTCAAGCCACAAGACTGGGGATTTTTTTTTCCCCCTTTTGATTTTCTCCTCCTTATCCCACTATGGAGGGAGGGCAGGGAGCAGGGAGGAGTGAGCCAGTGGCTGTGTGATGCTTTTTGCTGGCTGGGGTTAAACCATGACAGTCATTTTCGGGCACCAGCAGTCCACTTGCACCACTTCCTGGGGGAACTCCCTCAGTAGAAATTTCTAAGGTTTCAAAGTCAGTATTTCTCCAGTAAGGTTACTAAATATTTTAACCTAATTTTATGGAAAATCCACCTGTTCCCAAATTAAAGTTGTTAAGTTAAAGCTGAAATTGAAAAAAGGTTTGTAATTCGTTCTAGGCAGCAGGGAAATATGGTCAGAAATCAGAGTCTTTGAGTGGGCTTTTAGCTTGAAGTCCTGTGAATGGTCACATAGTAATGCCAGCCTTCTCTGAAAACACACAATGTGGATTTCATTACTAATTGGAGAGGGACTGTTTGACTAGTAGGTTTGTTTTCTTTTATTAACTCTTAAAACACACACAGTATGTGTACGGACACACCAGCTACCAATGAACACAGCCAGGTATGTCTAAGGCTGAATGTGAACCAACAGAAATTTAGGATTTAAACATAGAAAAGCCTTTGAATGTTTAGTATTTTGAGGTTTTTTTCCAAACCTTTGTGCTCTTCAGATCCCCTCAGAAAGAAATCCTTATTGAAAAAGCAATTAATTCCAGAGGATGCAGGTTTGTTGGTGACATAGCGATGGTACTTAGGAAGTATGAACTTGTGTCCAAGAGTGGTGAGGTTTGGGGGCAGGTCAGATTATTTGCCAGGCTGAGGCATGGGTTTATACTAACCAGTAAATATCCAGATCACAGGCTTGCTAACCCCAAATCCTTTTTTTTTTTTTTTTTCCTCTTTAATAGCATTTTGTGGGTGTGATTCCGTAGTCTACCTACAGTTTGTTAGGCCAGATTTGCTGCCACACTTTTGAAAGGGGAGAACTGTAGGTAGCAATAACTTCTGTGTGCTTGAGAGTTAAAGAGGAGGGAGGTTAGGGAAATGAATGACTTTTCAGACTTAACAGACAGTGTTTCATTGGTACACAGCGGCTGTAGGCAGAGGACTACATGAACAGCTCACCTCTTCAGAAAACAATCTAAACAAAGCTGGTGTATTGCACAGATGCTTATGCAGTACATATTGCCAAACACAGCCCTAGAAAGTGCTTTCCAAAAGTGTTACATCTTTTCAGACCAGCATTGCTGCTTTTCTTCTCCCTATGTGTGTCTGTAAAGCCCTTATCCGCCTCTTGTAGCACCTTTGCAATACTTGTTCTTTACGGTACTTTACAAAGGCTACCCAAGCAATAAGCTCCTCTGCTTTCTTGATGGAGGAAGAAGAGTTGAAGTGACTGTCCCATAGGAGTAAGTTTAACTAAAAGAGTTGGGTCTCTGGGTGTCTATTCCTGGGATCTGCCATGTTTTTAGTACAGTCTAGTTAACTAAGGGAGTACAGTCAAAACTAATGAAAACTGTTTTATTTCAGGGGAAGGGAGAATGTAACAATAAACAGGAGAA